GATATTTGTCATATTATTTTGCATAAATTTTGCGTTAGTAAAATCAGTTTATATTCAAAATTATATCTAACGTATGTCACAAGTCAAAAATGCTTTTTTCTTTTCTATTATGTTATTAATTTTGAAATGTCTAATTTAGAGAATATTAAAAGTATTCGGAGTAATGTAACATCTTATACTACATGGCAACATATTTAATATATTAAGGAACATAATTGCAATAAATAATAGAAATATCTGCGTTTCAGGTTGTTCGAGGAAAATTAATATTTTTTTTATTATTACTAACTTTTAGACAGGAAAGTCGTGGGTCAAGTTTTTAGTTCCTATTATAAAATTTGATGATATAATAATTTTTATAAACAGTTTGTAGATTAAGGGAAATCAGAACTTCGACTAGAATGGCTGGTTCTATGGTGGATTTTCTTTTATTTATCGTCAGTTTAACGATGCCATTCTATTCAATAATTTTTTGGCTAGTTTTCCATTCAAACAAGTTTCTTTTATAATCCATCAATATTTTGATAAAATTAATATCTCTTCATTATCACAAATTGTGTCACTTGATGATAGGCTTTTCTGTTCGGTCAGTAACCTAAATAAATATTAAAAATAAATTATATTTTTTATATTAAGAAAAATATTACATTATCATTATCATTACTTTTTTGAATTGCAATTCAAACGTTTTTGATTACTTTTTAGAAATGCTCTTTCTTCTAAATAACAAATCTTTTTGTATATAATTTTTTTAAGCGTATAATTATCTAAATTAAATTTTTTAACTTCGTCGATAACGTGTAGGAATATTTTTTAAGGACAGAAACACAACTTTGGTGCTTACTTCTTCTACTTCTTCTTTTACTTTGATTAATGTTTTTTATCTTGACTAATGTATTGTTTTAACTGGAGATCATTTGATCATAAATATTCTCATGCAACAACCGTTTCACCGGTTTTTAATATTTCTTGTACTCGCGTTGAAAATATTCTTTGATTCAATTTGATTTATCTTCATAAATTATTGATCATTTAAATTTATTTGTCTCATTTATCTATTCTTTAAAGCCAGTAGTTCATCGAAGCTAAATTAATCACTTTTCGATTTCTTTTTTTTTTTCATTTCAAATGCAATTGCCTTTCCTATTGCTTTGTTGAATGTTAAATTGGAAATTTGTTTCAAATATCTTTTTATTTCTTTGTCGCGAATCCCATATAAAAATTTTCCGGATAGTCTTTCATCTTGAAAATCAATATAATCACATTTATTATATATTTTGAGTAAATTTTTAGCATATTCATCTATGGTTTCTTCTTCATATTGATTACGAAATATAAAACGTCTTCTGTGTAAATGAGATTCATCGGGAGAAGAAAACTTTTTAAGGTAATTGTTTATTATATCTTCGTATGAAAGTTCAGAGAAATTAACAGTAGGGAAACTGTTCATTACTTCCATATGGACTTCATTATGAACCATTTGATAAAAGAATTCAATTATTTTATTATCTGGTACCTTGATCTTATCTGTTATATACTCAAATTTATTAAACCAAGCAAAAAAACTACCATCCTGTAAATGGTAAATATAAATGTATAAAAATGCATGATCAAGATAATACGTTACGAGATTATCTTTGGCAAATTGAATGGCCTTTGCAACAGTTTCATCGAATGGTAAGCAAGGATTTTGATATAAATGAATTCTTACTTCATTGTAACGGATTCCATTAATGAATTGTTTGCATAATAATTCTTCTTCGTGTTCTGTATAAGAACACTTGTTATATATTTTTCGTAAACTATTAACATATCTTTCTAATGGCTCTTGTTCGTATTGATATCGATGGTGCAAACGATTTCTATGTAAATAAACATCATAGAGAGAAAAATAACGAATGTAATAATTTATTATCTCATCGTATAAAAATTCAGTGTAATTTAAATTAGAGAAAGTCTTCTTGACACGTAAATGAAGATCACTATCCACCATTAAAAGGAAGAATTCAATCATTTTATTATCTGGTACGCCTGTAATATCTGCTACATACTCAAATTTATTTAACCAAATGTGAAACTTACGTTTCTTATTTGGATTGTAAGTATCAATCTTTAGAAGTGCTTGATCAACATAATACATTGTTAAATTATTTTTGGCAAATTCAATGGCCCTTGCTACCGTGTCTTTGAAAGATAAATCAGGTGCTTTAAATAAATGAGTTTTTATATCATCGTCGCGTATACCATTACGAAATCTTTGACATAAAATATAATCTATGTCACATTGAAAACCACACATATTATATATTTTCCATAAATTGCGAGAATAATTGTCTATAGGCTCTTGTTCGTATTGATTTCTATTATAAAAACGATTTCTGTGTAATTTTAATTCATCCGTAAAAAGTAAATACTGAATGTAATAATTTATTAATAATTCGTATGGTTGTTTAGTTAGATTAACATCAGGACAATTCTCCTTAACCTGTTCATGATTTTTATTATCCACCAATGCAAAGAAAAATTCAACGATTTCATCTCTCGATACACCGATATAATCGGCTACGTATTCAAATCTATTTAACCAGAGAAAAAATGGTTCATTTTCTTCTGATTCGTAAACTTGCATCATTTTTAAAGCTCGATTTCGATGATAAGATTTGAGATTTACTGTTTGTAATGAATTTTGGTTCAATTTGTTGCTCATTACTTTTTTGTAAAATAAGAAAACACTTTTTATTACTTATCGTACGTAAATGGATAATCTTTTGGAAATATTTTATTCTTGCTATTTTAATTTCGTTCTTATTAATAATCACGATAAACTTTTCGAAATGTATTTCGAAACGATTTCTTTTTGTTCGTGCACGTTTAATTTATATATTTTCTAATAAATTTGTTTTTATTTATATATAATCAAAAGTATCTTAGTGTCGTAATAAAGATTAAAAAATTGTTTTAAGAAAACCATGAAGTTAACAATAAAGAACAGTCATCAATAGTTTAACTGATATCTTAACAGTCTAACGTTTATTTAACTACTCAATTATTTAAACTTTATTGCTGTTAGATAGAAGTAAAGAGGAGGGGCATATTTTCTGAGTGCCATCTATTAGTTCATGAAAGAGATAATAATATAATTGATTATGTAAACACAGGATGTAAGAGAACTTATCATTAGTGTTTGAGAACTGGTAAAATACATCTCCATTTCTTTAGGTCTCGGAATGAACACTCCTCAAATTCACTTTTCGATAGATTCTCTTCTTTCACACCGTTATGCACACCTAGGATAGCACATACACACACACACACACACACATTCACACTCGTATCCTCGATATGTAATTAAACTGAGAATAACGGGTTACCCTAACGCAAAGGGTGTTGGATATTCCCTTCGACTTTTGTATTATTATTATTCTTAACTTAATATTTTTTTAAAACAGTTTTTAATGACTATGACATTATTGAGATCCTTAACATCATTGTTAATATAGACTAAAAAAAATTCGAAATTTTAGTTCGGCAAGTTATACGTTTAGGAAAATATATATTTATAGAGTATTCGTAATATTTTGTAAATTTAAACTAAACATCCCTAAAAAAAAAGAGAAAAAAAGGAAAATGGTAATTTTCATTCAAAAATAATAATGTTTATAATTTTAATTTATTTTCTTTAAGGGAAATAGTGGTTTATTTTTTGATATAATATTTATCAAATCAGGAAACCAAGTTCAGGTCTCAATGCCACAAATTTATAAATAATTTCTACTGTTTAAATGGACGAGATAAATAAACGAAAATGAATAATAAACGAGCCGTTAACTTTTATCTAGCTTCAAATATTTTGATAATCTTCTTATTAGTTGATCACGATTTGACTATGTGTGTGTGTGTGTTCAAATTCACAATACATTATAGGTTTATATTTATCCGTTTTATTATTATTTAGAACAAGGACTAATGTAGGACTCTAAATATCTGTCATTTGCTTCTTGTTTCTTAAAGCAGTTAAGTTTAAGTAAGTGTGTCAGTTAGACAATTAAAATATCGATAACACATTTGTTATATTTATTTATTATAATTATTTTTAATATTCATAACAATATTCTAAGATTTGTTTCAATTATATATTAACGTAACAAAACTATATAGAAAAGTGATGGATTTAAATATACAAAAATGATATTAAAGTATATTAAGAGAAATACATAATTATCATTGATTAGAGTGAAACGAAGGATTGTACAAAGAATTTTCAAAAGTTATTTTATTTATCGTCCCTTAAAGAATCATACTTTAATTTGTTTATAAAATGAGTACAACGGTTCCAAAGGAATTAATATTAAGACGTTATCTCAGAAGATTTAATGCGAGAACTATGAACGTTGAAAAATGGCTTAATCAATTGGACTTTATGGTCGAATTACTTGAGATTCCAGAAAGGAGATTAGTTCACTTTTTATTCAGTATGGTCGATCCTTCGATTCGTACAAAGCTTTTTTTGAATACAGCCATTGCCAATATGCTAAATATTACATACGAAACGGTTTCGTCGATGTTACAACGAATGTATACAGCTCGACCCAAACGTATGGGATGCTATACTCGTTTTCATTTTCGAAATCAATTTTATGGTGAAAGTGTAGAACATTTTCGCTACGCTATAACGGCTTTAATTACGAAATGCCCTTTTGGCGATAGGGCAAGTATGTTCTTATGTTCTCGATTTGTTAATGGATTAAGAAACAAAAGTGTTAAAAAATTATGCAGGCGTATAAAAGATATAAGTATTGAAACTGCATTTCATATCGTCAAAAAAATAGAACTTAGAGATAGAACACGTAATATAAGTTTATCTAATAATAATAATGAATAAAATGTGCCACGAACAAGCAGAAAATAAAGAAATATATATATATATAGTTTGTG